CTAGTCGTCAAGGAGGTGTTTGATCATGTTCTTGTAGGCAATGATTGTCTTCTCCATGGTCTCTTGCATGTTGGAGATGATGTCTAGCATGTCGGCGTCTGCCTTCTTAGCATCTTGGAGGACTTTAGTGGACACAATGTAGTTCATGTAGCATGGAGTGGTGGGGATGTTTTGGATAATATCCTCCTTTGTGTCGCAATGGTTGATGATCTTCAGCTGCACACCTTTTAGTGATTCCCTCGTCTTATTGAATTGCTGAATGAGGGTGTTGAGCACCTTCTCCATCTCTTTAGATTTTATGTTGATGTAATTGGCTGATTGACTTTGTTGAACAAGGGTGTGGACGGGAGGGGGAAAGAGGCGCCCATTATATAGGGTTTAAGGGGGTGAAGTAATCGGTTGGTTGGTGTTGTAATTACTTAACATTTATTATATTTATCTACTACAATTGATTACAAAACATTTTGCTTCTTAGGGAATGCTTTGGTAGATGAAAAGATGGGATGATTATGATGATTACATGCATTGAATATCTCTAGTTCTTATCTATTAGTTTTAATTGCTTATGATAATTCTTTTCATGTAGGTGTTCTAGGAAGCTTTTAGGGTAGCTTAGTGGGTGTATAGAAGATGATGATTTGCCCTTTAAATAGTCAGAGGTTACATTATCATTTATATCATTTATATCATTTATATAGATAACATACACACGTTCGGATTATAGTACTTTGAATAATAAATCCTAAACCTTATATATGCAACAAACCATATTTGAATATTTACCTATTATCTATTAGTATTAAATGAAGTTTTAAGTTACCTATGATTGTTAAACAATACACACATACCAACATTGAAGTTTTAACTTACCTATTATTAGTAACCCTATGGACATCATAATGTGAATAATATATAACCTAAATAAATTTAAAAAAAAAAGATATACGTAACCCTATAACAAAGATATACCTATTATTGTTAAAATATCAGTTTAGAACAACTAACTAAACAAGGAGTTTTTATAGAACATTTTTAGATAGATCTGGATCAGTATGTTAAATTCATTAAAACGATATTGGAAGAAGTTAATCATTGGAGGGCTTATTTAATTAGATGCCAAATTTAGTAGAATAATGAGGTGACAATAATGTTAAGTCATAATGTAGGTTTGTCATTAGAGATACTTTTAGGTGATGTTTGTTTTTTTTGGAAAAGTTCTTTTTAAGCGCTTATGTCTACGAACACGAAGACATTTACGTATGTGCGTTCTCGTTGATTGTTTGTTTTTTTTATAAGACTGCAGACGTCAAAACGTTTGTGCATCATCTTTTTTAAAAACACATGGACCAAAGTTTACAGACGAAAAGATATTTCTCACAGACGTCTTCTATGAATAATAATAATAATAATAATAATAATAATAATATTATGTATAATTTGAAAGGATTAGATGATGTTTTTCCAAGTAAAATGTTTTGCACCTAATTTCTCAATTTGGATTTATTTAAGCTTTTTATCATTATCTCATATGCTAAAAATATTGCAGTTTTTTGTTAGCATTTTAAAATCTGTTTCGAATAAATCTATTTTTAATTAGTTTGTTATTAATTTGTGCAAAATACTTTAAAATCAACAATTACATTTATATATTGTAAATTTATAATTTATAATTTATAGTTAGATAATTGACATAATTCCTTAGAAAATTTAATTATTTGTATTTCCATATTCAAATCAATATTTAAGGGCTTGTTCTTTTATGATAATTTTTTTATAATCATGTATTTTTTGTACAGTTAATCTATAATCGAATAAAGGAATTATTATTTGAAAGTTTTATTTATATTGTTTATTTGTTTCTCTATGTTGATTTCTAATTCTATATTTATGTTGTTTATGTTATTAACCTTCAAAATAGAAATATGCATGTTGATGACGATGGAGATGAGGCTGAAGGACATGATACTACATCAGACTAGAAATATATGACTTAGTTATGAGATGAAATTGTTGAGCAGTTAAAACAAAATATGAAATGAATAATTTAAAAAAATTAGTGTGGTTGTTTAAATTATATTTCAATGTTGTAAAACTAGAATTATTTAAATTTTAGTCTTGATTTTTTTTAAGTTTAAAAATCAGTGTATTTATATTTCTATTTATTCGAAAAAACCGATCACTTTCCACATGATTTCGCCGGAACATTGCCTCGCCAAGATACGATAAATCTCAGCATTGCCCAATTTACTCAGACAACTAGAAATTCATCATCATCGCCTCTAATGATTGAAAAACAAAAAGAGTAAACTACAGTTTTGGTCCCTGTGGTATGATATTAACTTATAAACTTCGATTGGCTTTGGTTTGGGGAAATAAAAGCAGATGGACAGCAATCGATCCAACATGCCATTTCAACAAAATTATAGATCCCCAAACCAAGTGGCATTTGGATCGACGGAAGAAATCAAATATCCATAGAGTTAAAAGATATATGTGTTTGATTTGCTTCGACGTTTCCAAAAAGTAGAAAAGAAACAGAGCGATACTTGTACATGCATGATATAAATATATATAATATATATATGTATGTATATTTCTAGGAGGTTGGATTTTGGGGAAAAACTGAGTCACCGGCGACAGAGGGGCAACCACCCTAACCTTCTCTCTACCACCTCTATTTATTTTAACAACTTACAGACTTAAAAAAAAACAAATAGTTTTCTTCTTATAGATTAAAAACATTTGATCCACCTCTTCTTATATGTAACAAGACTGCATACATCTTATCTCTTAGAAAACAAACAACATTTTAATTTGTTAAGTACTAGTTGTGAGATCCATGTATTACATGAGTTAATTTAAAAAAAAAATTAAAATATAAATGTCAAAATATTGGGAACTTTGAATTTATAAGAAAATAAGAAAAATAATAAATTATTATAATTAGAATGTTTTTTATCTTTTAAATTTAAACAAATAATTTAAATAAATAAATAAAATAAACTAATTAGCTTTAATTTGGAAATTTTAAAATTAAAAGGTAAGTTGATTAATGAAATTGATATCCATTTATTATAATATTTCTTGCAATTATTACATTAAAATATTATGTGAAATTTAATAAAATAAAAAAACTCATAAAATGACATGTGGAAAAAAAATAATTCATAATAACCATAAAATGTCATTTGACAAATTGAATGAAAGTATACCATGTGGCAAAAAAACCTTTATTTATCAAAGAAGATTATCTTCCTACTTTTCTTTTTAATTATCTTTCTATCCATTTGAAATAATGATAAATGTATTAAAATACAATTAATATTATCCAAATATAATATTAATATTTTATTTAAAATATAATTAATATTATCCAAATATAATATTAATATTTCATATGAATAAAAATATAAATAGAAAAAAAGAATAAAAAATATAAATAGAAAAAGAAGATAGGATAATATTTAATTTTTCACTAACAAATTATGTTATTTTGGATGGAGAGTTATTTTAAGACGAAACAAAATATATTATTATATTGTATAAATTTAATAATAAAAGAAATTCATTTTATTTATTTATCGATGTTTTAAATACTGTGTGTGCAGGGGTCGTGTCGGCTTCAACCAGGCAAAGACCATCAATAATCCATCATCTTTAATCTTCCCCTTTTCACCTTTACTCTTTTCTTCGAAACCCTAATCATTTACTATAACACACATCTTTCTATCAACTCCTTCTTTGATCCTCAATTTATGCGTTCGTTAGATTGTGATTGGTGTGATACGTTGGATGCTGTGGATTCTCGTTGATTTTCCGTCACTTTTGCTTCAATCTGTTGGCACATTCATTGTAAGTTGTTCATATGTCCCGTTAATTGTTTTTGATTCTAGTTTGTTTCGTGTATAATAACTTTTTTATTCTTTTAGAGCTGTTGAAATTCTGTTGACTTAAATCTGAATACAATTAACTTCGATTTTTGTTCCTTCAAATTTATTTCATTGTTGTGTCCGATCTGTTTGGTCTGGATATTATGTTTGATCTGCAATCCACCGATATACGTTTTTCGGTGTACCTCGTATGGAGTATGGTAGATGGAAATGATGGATGTAGTCGGGTAGGTGAAGATACTTTAGATGATAGTTTGACAGTGTAATTTAAATGCCTTTGCCATTTTCTTAAGCTTTTTCCCGGATAATGTTCAAGCTTTTGGACTTTTGCGAACTGCAAAAAACTTGTGATTCGGTTCACTTTGGGAAGAGATTTATCTGAGTCCAATTAGGAGCATACGATTCACCCATGAAACATTCAGTGCTTTCTTGATGATGTTGGAGGTGGAATACCAGTGTCTTACAACTCATATGTCTTGTACTAGACTAGTACTTTTTGATTAATGTTCTGGAGTTCTTTTTGATTACATACTGACTACCACTCTGGTTATTGTTTGTGTTTGTGTTTGTTACAGGTACTCAATACAAGACTGTGCTTCAATATTCACACTTTGTTATATCTAGTATTCCTCCCTAAATCAAATTGTTTTCATCATGGCACATGTTGCTGCTACTCATTTTCCTGGAGGGCCTCAATCAGGTTATAACTAATTATCTTTTAAAAAAATCGGTATCAAACACATATGCACATCAATCCAGTAATTAACATATGTTTGTTATATAATATAATACTTGTTTTTCAGGATCCTCTGGTGATGCCATATACAAAGAATTGTGGCATGCCTGTGCTGGCCCTCTTGTCAATGTCCCTCGTGAAGGAGAACGTGTTTATTACTTCCCTCAAGGCCACATGGAACAGGTTTGTTATTCAATTTTCTTTCAAGAATTCATTTTCAACCTTTCATCTGAATCTTTTCTTTTTATTTCAAGACCACATGCAATGACACATAATTTTGGTTATTCTTACAGCTCGAGGCTTCCATGCATCAAGGATTAGACCAGCAGCTCCCATCATTTAACTTACCAGCCAAAATACTATGTAAAGTGATGACTGTTCAGCTTCGGGTAAGTTAGTCAGGGTAGTTTAGTCTTTTTCAGAGAGTAATACTCATAATCCATTTGGGTATTCAAGTAATTTAGTTCTGGATTCATTTTTTCAGGCTGAACCAGAAACTGATGAAGTTTATGCACAAATAACACTCTTGCCTGACACAAATGTGAGCCTACTAAATTATATGTTAATAATAATATCATTTTTTTTTTCTTTTTTTAGTTCAAAATTTATTTTTATATTCTTTTGTGGATCAGCAAAATGAGGTAACAAGCCCAGATCCT